GAGTGTCAGAATATTCAGTGCCCGAATGCGTCAAGGAAGAATACCAGCGCGAATTGCAGGTGTGGCTGGATGACGGCTGGCTGACTCCGTATCCCGAGGAAGAGCTTGGTCCTCCAAGAGGCCTCATCCCATTGATGGCCGTGGTACAAAAGAACAAGGGAAAGGTGCGCCCTGTACTAGATTATAGAGAACTGAACGAACATGTAGACACATACACAGCTCATGCTGATGTGTGTTCACAAAAATTGAGAGAATGGTGAACGAAGGGATCCAATGTCTCTGTGATTGATCTTCGAAAGTCCTACTTGCAGGTACGCGTGCACCGGTCACTGTGGCCATTTCAGACGGTGATTCTTAATGGGACGAGGTACTGCTTAACCCGAATGGGATTTGGACTCAATGTGGCGCCGGCCATCATGAAAGCCATCGTGGATGCTGTGCTATCCCAGGATGAGACAATTCGTCAAGCGACGTCAGCCTACATTGACGACATCTACATCAACGAAACCTTAGTACCCGCTTCACAGGTGAGAAAGCATCTTGCTGACTTTGGGCTCGAATGTAAAAACCCAGAACGACTGGAGGATGGTGCTCGGGTGCTCGGCTTGCAGGTCTGGGGGGAGCACAACATGCTTTACTGGAAACCTGGAAGCGAGCTCCCGGACATTCCCAAACACATGACCCGACGCAGCGTGTTTTCGTTATGTGGAAAGCTGGTGGGACATTTTCCGTGGGCGGGTGGATCCGCATTGCAACTGCATTTATTAAACGTAGGGTGACTGCTGTCACTTCCGGCTGGGATGACACAACAAATGATGCCCCCCTTAGACACATGATAGCGGAAGTCATTACTAGGGTGCGTCAAGACGACCCTGTACATGGTAAATGGTGCGTTGACGGATGTGAATTTAACGTCTGGGTCGACGCGAGCTCCCTTACAACAGGAGTGTCTCTTGAAGTAGTTGACACCGCCGTGGAAGATGCGTGTTGGTTGCGCCCCGAGAAGGATACGCAACATATCAACCTGTCAGAATTAGACGCCGTTATCAGGGGAGTCACCGCGCCCTTCAATGGAATGCAAAGGTATTGCATTTATTCACGGATTCGCATGCGTGTATAAGTGGATATCAGACACTCTTACGGGGAAGGCTAGGATACGTAAACAAATGCTGCGAGCGAGATGCTCATTCGAAGGAGGCTAGACACACTGGGAAAGTTGGTAAGTGAATACCACTTATCCGTAGACATACAGCTGGTCAGATCACAGCAGAACAAGGCCGATACTTTAACAAGGGTACCCCAAAAATGGCTTGATGCTATTAAGAAAGAGGTAGAGCCGGTAGAACATGTCTGTGTAACATCAACGAGCAACTATAACTCAGATTTACTAAAATCTGTGCATTGCCAGCGGACATCCCGGTGTAAAACAGACCTTATATTTCGTGGAGGCTGATTTATCCCTCCGTATCAAAGCTGCTGTCAGGGCAGTGGTCAGAGGATGCAAGGAGTGTCAGTCCATCGACCCAGCACCTGTGCAATGGCAAAAGGACAAGTGAGTGTAAGCAAGGTGTGGCACCGTGTTGGAATGGACATCACCCATTATAACGGACATCACTATTTAACCCTCATTGATTGTGGCCCAACCCGGTTCATTATTTGGCGGCGTCTGCGTCGACAGGATTCCGCAAGCGTCATTGACCACTTGGGGTCATTGTTCTTTGAACGTGGACCTCCGACGGAACTCCTCACTGACAACGACACTGTATTCGCAGTGGACTATTCAAAGATTTTGTGGCTTCGTGGGAGTACACCTCAGATTTCGCTGTGTGTATGTCCCATCAGGGAATGGCATAATCGGCGATGTCATCGGAGCATCAAAAGAATCGCTGCTAGGAAGCAGTGTTCCATAATGGAGGCGGTGTATTGGTACAATGTTACTCCGAGAGACAATAATGTATCGCCCTCAACTGCGCCAGACAACATGATTTATCAGTACAAAGTCCGGCTACGAGGCATTGACGTAACGCGTTCAACTGAACGGATAAACGAGCGGCGCCGCCCGTATGACTTGGGCGATCGCGTGTGGGTGAAATCTCCACATAGCGGTGTACAACCCGGTACCGGGTGGGGCATGTCACTGGACTAAGTAACTCGCGTTCTGTGCTGGTTGATGGCATACCAAGACACATAAAGGACTTGCGTCACTATGTAGGTACAGATACTTCAACAAGTGACACTAGCAGTGAGTGCTCAGAAAGTGAACAAATAATTACCTTCGGAGGTAGGGCTAGCACCCCTTCAGATGGTGAAGACTCTGTGTGTGAGGTTGTCAGACCAGAAGAATCCTCAGAAGAAGAATCTTCATAACATTCTTCAGATGATGAAGACTCTGCGCATGAGGTTGTCAGATCAGAAGAAACCTCAGAACATAACACACAATCTCCTCCAACAGTCGCCCGCTCGGAGAAGCTTAAGAATAAAGAGGCCCGCCCATGAGTGTCACTTATGTGACAGGGGGAGTGTAGTGAGCGAGATAATTAAGTACCCCGGAAAAAGTTCGTGTTTTGTGTGTGATCTGCCGGGGAGGGATTTAAAAAAGTAGTCAGCAAAAAACTCTTATAGCGACTTACCTTGTCAACCCAAGCGACAGCGCGTCAGCGTGTATTCTGGGACGAAAAAAGAAACAAGTCCGTCATGCAGGAGTCGCTATAAGAGGAATATAATATGCAAATTACGGAGCATCCTATCCCGGCTGTCGACGAATGGAAAAAATAGGTTCTGCCGATAAAAGCAGTTGGTGTTGTCGACTCGGGAGGAAAAAATTTGGGCAGTTTTGGCTACGGCGTTCGTGAGTTATTTTCCTGACGTGTTACAAGTGATTTTCTTTCGTTGTGTTGTGAAAGCCACAAATTTGCTTTGAGAACGCTTACACTTCACTAAAAAAGATATTTTACTACAATTGCTTATGCATTTTTTTTTGTTTATTGTCATTCCAGCATTTCTTAATCTATTCAAGATTGTCGGTTTTCTTTTTTAATTCATTTTCATTAGTAGCTCCCATGCATATATCATCTTGGTAACAAATCATATTTTTCATATTTTCTAAAACCTGTTCAATGGCCCTTTGAAATATGGCGCTTGTGGTTTTTATTCCGTGTGGCATCCTTTTCCACCTTAGTAACCCTATTGGTGTATTTATCGTGGTTACTTTATCGTCTATTGGTATTTGGTGGTATGCCATTTTTAAATCTATTTTTGTAAAAACACTCATTCCTGTCAGTGCGTGTAATGCAGCTTCAATCTTTGGTATTGGATATGAATCTGAACAATCTTTGTGATTTATGCCTATTTTGTAATTTCCACAAATACGTAAATCACCATCTGTCTTCCTCAAAACTACAATGGGTGATGCCCACTTGCTACCCCCGGGGGAACATGTTCAAGAAGGTCTTGTTCTATTAACTTTCGTAGTTTTGTTACTACTAATGGCAACAAATGTACTGGTAATTTTTGTACCTCATAATAAGAGGGGGAGACATTTACTTTTAATTTTAAACTCCTTTTATAGTTTTTTAACTTTCCGGTTTTTTCCATTTTTATCTGATTAATTAATTTGGTAGAATTTATGTTAAGCACATCGTTTCCAACAAGTCCGTGGTTCTTTTTACAACTTGTGACAATTATAGGTAATACTTCAAATTTATCTTCTAATTCCAAGGAATCTTCAAAGTATCCTAAGGTTTTTATGACTGACCCATTAAATTGGCAGAGTTGTAAACTGCTCTTTCGTAAAGGTGGCTTTCCAATGCGTTCCCAAAAATCTTTTGGTATCAGCATTACTTCACTCCCAGTATCAATTTGCATATCTAAATTGCAGTTGTTGATTTTAACCTTTAGTATAATGTCTTTTTTCTTTTGTTCAGTTTTCTCTATATTCTTATTTTTTAATTGGTTTTGTTTTCTTCAACTCTTTCAACGTTTTTCTTTTTGAATTTGCATACTGCTTGAAAGTGGTTCTTTTTTAAGTAATTTGTACAGGTTTTTCCAAATGCTGGACATTTTTCCCTTTTTATTTTGTGTTCATGTCCACAATACGAACATTTTCTTATCTTATTTAACATGTACGTATCAGCGAATTTTTTGTTGGTTGTATTTCTGTATTAATTCTTGTTGCTGGATAAAGTCAATGCATGTATTTAAAGACATATTTCCTATTTGTAGTTGTTCCATTATTTTATATCGTGTGATGCATTGCACATACCTTCAATTAACCTTAATTGAATCAAGTCCTCTTCAATAGTCTGTTCGTCTTGTCCGAGTTTTTCAAATTCGCAATATCTACTCGCATTTCATAGACAATATAAATATTTTATAATTGGTTTGTCAATTTTTTGTTTCATCGACATGAACTTTGTTCTTTCTGCCACTACCAGCCTTTTCTTGGGTCTCATATTTCTCCTTATAATCTGACTTATTTTTTCGAAAGTCAGGTTTTCCAAGTTTGTGGGATATGCCATGGTGGAGACTTTCATTATCACCTCACATCCAGCTGTAGCCAAAAATAAATCCGTAATATCATTTTCGCCTCCCTTCTCCTAGTCTTTCAGCTTTTTACTTCTCGCACTGGCAGAAAAACAGCGAATTCATGCATCCACGTAATCTGAATCTTCTAGAGATAAATACAATCCTATCGGCGACGCCATTGAGGTGAAGTCGAAGTTTAGCACTAGTCAATCACTAAGCTTGTCTTCCTCCTACATTATTCTCGGGGATGAGTTATATAGGCCTTCTCTTGCACTTAGGCAAATTAGGCATATTAATTTGCCAGTATCACTACAAAATCCTTTTGCTGTTTTGAAAGTAATTTCTTGGAACATGGCTTTTATTTCACAATAAGTATTTAAAATTCTCACCTAAGAATAGACTCTTAAAATTCTTTATTTTCCCCTGTCTGAGTGTAATTTTAATTTCAGAAATTTTTTTGTTGCTTTTTATTCCAGATAATCCAATTCGTTTGCTTATCCTTCACTTGGGAGCAATATGTTTACCAACCATAATGACGCTTTACCTGTCTCACCTGTCTTTACTCTTCTTCCTTCCTATCATGGGTCGAGTTGGTAGCTTCATTATTCCTGACATTGCTGTGGGTGCTATGGTTGCCCTGCCTATAATCTTCATCACTGGATTTAGTGTAAGTTTTTCTCTCTCTCTCTCTTTTACAGGACCTCTTTGACAAAATATACATTTCAAGGATTTTTTTATATTTTACTTGGAGAGTGGCATGCTTATCTTCTTGGGGGGAATAGAGCCATTGTAGAAAGGAATGTATCTTGACGTCTCTATGCATACACACACACAAAAATCTATATATACATAGACACCAAGAAAAATGCTTTGTTCTGAGAATTTATTGTACTGTAATGAACGACAGTTGTTAACTAATATTTTATTGAAAATGGTTTAAGAAAAATATTTTATTCATTGACTGACACTTGATATGTTGATGTTAACTTTAATTTGAAATTTCCTCAGCTTATTGTATTATTTGAGTTTTTTTTTTCAGTATTTATTGCCCTCCCCCACTATATATTTGTGATATATCTTTATATATATGTTATCGTGATATTTGTAACTTATGCATATAGTGTGTGTGTGTGTGTGAGAGAGAGATTGAGATGAATAGCGCTTTGTATTTTAAACCTGTGTCCTGTTTATAGTTAGACTTTCATCCTTTGTAAGACATGCAAATAAATTGCTTACAACTTAAGTTTAGGAATTTTGATTTTTCACATCTTTGTCTTGAGTAAAAAGAGAAAATATTGAGTGGTTGAGATATAAAGAAAAAAATATTGAGATATAGAGAATATTAAGAGGGAGTGAGAGAAATATTAAGTAAATGTGAGGGAAAGAATTGAGAGAGAGATAGAAAAACTGAATTATGATTGCATGAGAGAGAGAGAGAGAGAGCAAAAGGATTGAATGTAAGATAAAGAAATGAAAAGAGATTTTTTTTCTTTTGATTTCTTCATTAACATTTGCTTGTGTTTTAATGCTCTCAGCTGGAATTGCTTGCTTCAACTGCAAGTAACTTTCAGTTTCAGCAGCTGGGATAGGCAAGTGTAGGTATGGCAGCTGATAGATATAGTGCCCCACCCACAAGATTTTCTCTTTTATTACTTTAAAATTTACCTTTTTGGTTTTTAAGTTTTTTAGCTAGAACGAAAATGTCTTCCAGATTTTGGAGGAAATTTACACCAACACCACCACCACCACCACTACTGTTTATTGTAACAGAATTAAAAAAAAAATAAAACCAGTATATTTCTTCTTTTTTAATTTGGCTGACTTTTATGAAGTGTAGAAGACATTTTCACTGACTTGAATTAATTGCAGACAGCTTCTTACAAATGTCTTTACTTTGAGTGTTTGTCACATTTGTCATTATCTTCGGATTTATATTGTACTGAAAAAACTTATTTCATGGGAAAACTTGTTTTAGATTTTCAGGAGAGAAAAAAAAAAGTTAAATTGAAAATTCTGTAAAGCAAATTGGTATTTAAATATTCTGCTGAAAATGAATTAATATAGTCCAATGACATATCAAATGCTATATAAAAAGTCATTTAGGTTGGTTATTGTCTTGCAATTTTTGCTATAAATACAGAGAAATAAACTACATTGGTTCAGAAGCCATGTTTTTGAATTAAGATCTACTACCACTTGTATCATATTGATAGTGTATCAAATAGGATGTCCAAGTAGATTTTAAAACTGTGACCCATTCTTGCAGATGAAGTTTTGAAGAGTGCAAGTATGATCTTCAAATTTTAGAGCTTTTTACTTTCTGAGGACCTGTGTTTCAATATCTGAACAACATTAGTGGGGAGATGCAGTTAGAAAAATAACTGACAAATTATATGGTATGTTTATACAGGATATGAATACTTGTCATATCTGATATTTAGAGAATTCTATAATTAGTGTTAACTTTTAAGTATAAATATTGATTTCTTAATGATGTTTGAATATTTGTAGCTGGCAGTGCTTTCTTTTCACAGCAGTAAATCTGATGAATGAAAAATAAACACTTAGTATGTTGATGATTTATGCTAATATGAAACAAAGCATTCAGAAAGTAAATTTCTTAATGTTCTACTTTTCAGTCATGTTGATGATTTAGCCTTTTATGGAAGTAAATATTTTCAAGAACAGATTATTTGGAAACTTAGGAAAATATTGAATGATTTAAGTATTAAGACTGAATTATCTCAAACCTATGACAAAGTACAAATCAATCTGTTGTTCTTTATTCCTGCACTACAAAAAATATCATAGTATTCTTGGCATCATCACTTGTTAGTGTTTTGATCTTCATGGCGATTGCATGTTGACATTGGCAAGCTTGGGAGGTAACCAGATTCTACGGGGTTTTTCCCCAGTGCTTGTGGTTCTGTAAAGATTTCAGATGTGAAATCTTTGCAGCTTTAGTAACTTTTTCCTTGCTGAAAACCAATTTCACAGCACAAACCAAATTCTATTGATAAGTAACAGGTCTAATGGAAATAAATTGAAGAATTTCAAAAGTACATAAGGAGTAAAGAATAATTCATTTTTCTATGTAGCCTAGTTAATGATCTTTCTAGCAGTAATTCGTAATAATTTGAGAGACTTCAGTTTTGGCTCTATCTTGTCTGTGAATTTGTTCTTCTGTTTTTTTTTTGTTTTTTTTTTTCAACTTGCAACATGAAAGTGTTTTGGCTTTCTGGGTATGTCACCATTTACTTCTCTACAGGAGTATATATATATATATATATATACTCCTGTAGAGAAGAAAATGGTGACAATTGTCTGAGATTTTGTCCTTTGACATCTACATGCTTTGATGACAATATACAAAGATATATTGGAATTGCGAAAGATGCCTTCCAAAGGTCAAGCAAAGTATAAAAAACAGAAAAACTTTGTTAGAAAGAAAAGAGGACTGAGCTGTTATTCAGTATCAGTCCTCTGATATGGCAGTGAATGTTGGACAATCTCATACATTCGTATGTAGACTTGAGGCATCAGAAAAATGCTCAGGAGAATATTGTTTTCCATATATTTATCAACTGTACATTTTATGCCATCAGATAAGTGGCATATTTAAAGTTTTTTTTTTTTTTTTTGCTCCAGTCTCTCACCTCCCAGTCTCTCACCTCCCACACCATTTCTCTTTTTGGTGTATTTGTTGTTCTTACAGCTGAATTGCTTATGAGTTGAAATTTATCACTGGAGATCCATCCTCTGTTCTGTACCTCTCCATCAGAGTAACAAAAGCATACAAGTGTATTTTTGACATTTGCAGTAATGTTTGGAAGGGATTTATATCACTGAGATTTCAACACAAACTGTTAAGTCAATTAAAATATCATGAAATTGACTTTATTTTTCAGTTCCCTTTTCATTTTCTATATTATCTTTGAGCATGCAGCCATTTATAAAATTTATTTTTACTGTGGCATTTTTAATTTGAAATTGTTGTTTATATTGATTCTCAGAGAATCATCAGTGTGTCTTTCCAATTCTGTGTGACATTTTCTTTTGAACATTTTCACTAATATATTGTAACTTTTTATCATTTTTGTCTATTCCTGGTGTCACTTTACTTGGAGAGGAGTTGGGTGCTGCCAAGTAACACCTTTTTCTCTAAAAATGCTATCAAGTTAGCATGAGAACTGACAATCTTCTAATTCATGGAATCAATTATTCCTATGATTTGGAAAGGACTTATTTAAAATGAACAAATTTGAGAAAATTTGGGAAATTCTCTTTTGTCTTGCTTTTGACAAAAGTCTTCATTTAATATCAGTCCTCCTATATGGCAGTGAATGTTGGACGATCTCATACATTTGTATGTAGACTTGAGGTGTCAGAAATGTGATTTTACAAAGGACCATGGACTGAACATGTGAGCAATGATGACGCTTTAGAGAAAATGGAAACAAAAAGGACACTTATAATTAGCATCAGAAGAGCCAGTTGAAAATTTGGGGCACATAATGTGGAAAAAAGGCTTGGAAAATTTGTCACAGGACATATTGAAGATAAGAGAGACATGGCACATAGGAAACGATGAGATCAGTTTCATTTTGGAGGCGTTAAAATTAACAAGCCATTTCTTGCCCCAGTTATCAACAAATTAAAAGTCGTTTTTGAGATTAGCTGCCAATGATTGAACCTATCAGACTTACCATTAAAACTGGGGTAAATAGTCATATCAACATAGATACTGATTTGAAAACTGATAACATTGGGAATACTGTTGAAGAAAAGTAAAAGCAAAATAGATTCAAGGATAGGACCCAAATAAACATCTGCATTAATGTAAAAGAGATCTAGAAGAATGGTTGTTCAAGACAACTTTCATTTTGTGATTTAATAAGATTGAATCCTAATTAGAAGTTTGTAATGATCTCAATATCAAAAGCAATAAGAACTTTGTATGTATTTAATAATAGATGGAAGTATTCCTACAATATATTTCAATGTTATCATAATATAGATAAGTTGAAATGAAGGAAGAGTTGAGGGTTTGGTGGGGTTTTAGAAAGCTTTCCCTAAAAAGGAGAATATTGTTTCCAGATGCTTGTCAACTGTACATGTTATGCCATGTTTCTTATGTGATGTTGTTTTACTGTCTTGTAGGCAAACATTATAATGTTCAGTAGTGGGAAAAGGAAGGCCCTTTTGGCTTTGTCAGCTATCATCATTATTGGCACAAGTTCAGTCTTGTTCACTGATTATGGTTTCCCCTACAGTACAGATGATAGCAAACCAGCTTACCAACGAGTATTTCTGAAAGTAAGTTCATTCTTTTATTTCTGATTTTATGTTAACAAGATAATTTATATATTGAGTCATTATCATAAATATAGAACAACAGCCAGACTACTCGCACATATGATTTGATTAATGGTGAAGGCTTGTGCAGAACCAACCACGCTTTTTGAAAGAGCTGAATACAGAGAACTGGTGCAGATAGTGTGCCACAAGGTCCCTAAATGACCCTCTTCAGATTTTGAATTCAGAGTTGTCTTTCTCTCAGACCAGTTGCCACCCAAGGCTATAGGACCCAGTCTCTCCTGCTATTTACCCATAGCTGGGGGTTGGGGAGAAGTGATGGATTCATATTTTTCCCAAGGGTATTTGTATGCAAGTGAATGCAGGAAACTCACCTGCAATTTGAGCTCTGCTTTCCGATTTCTCAATCCAAGTTGCTCTCCATTACTTCACCATGCTAAAATATATGAATCTCAATGCCACCCTTTACTGATTTGTTTTGGCATATTATCAATTATGAGTAACTAATATAGAGATCCCTTTAGAAAATATCTGTATATCAAAAGTTTAACTGACCGATAATGGATTATTTTTAAAAAATGTGATAAATACCAAAAAATGGGAAGAAAAAATTGAATGAATGAATAAAATAATAGAAATCATAAAATATCAGGTAATGATAAAAAATGAATTATGTATTGAAAGATAAATGAGGTGTTATGACTTTGGGTAAAGCACTTCTTGTGGATTCTAATGATTGACTCATGTGGGGAAAAAATTAATAAATAATTTCCCCTTCAAAGAAATTTTGATGTTTACTACATTTACCCTCTAATAACTTATATTTCTTTTTTTTTTTTCTTTTTTTTTTTGCATGAAGAAAATATTTTCCGAAATAAATTCTTGTAAATTGAAACCATAAAAAACTGTTGAGTTATCTTTCTTGTGCACTTTTCTCAGCATATCAGAAGACAATTCCATGACCAGGATGGCAACATAACAAAAGCAGACAATGGTCTCTGGTTTATAACTTTGGATTATTCAGGATTGAAAGGAATCCAGAAAGAAATGCCTGATTACTTAAAAGACATTCAACCCATGAAATGTGAAGGACCCTATTGTGGTTGGCCTTACTTGTACCCTTTCATATGGATCATTGATTACAGGTAAGTCTGCTTTCTCTTGATAATAGCAATAGTTTCAGTGTCATATCAAAATCCTATCACTGAACACTAGCCAATGGCAGTTTTATTATAATGTCCAAGTCTAAACACATATTGCTAATATGTGTTTCATTTGGTTTTTAATCATGTCAGCTCCACAAAGAAGCTATGTATTATCTCAATCTTTGCACTCCATTGAAGGGAAACACCAATAAAATACAAAGAAAAATTGTTTGCATTGTTCATTTCTTTTGTTAAGTATTTGAACAGCTTTCTTGTTTTATGATGGCATTGTTTTGATACTTGAGATAAAAAAAGAATTCAGAAAAGAGCTTTGCAAATTAGATCTCTCAATGCTAATAGTAAAAAGTGTCAAAAATGGTATCAAACGTTGGTCAGGCTTCTTAGTTGATGCTCACAAAGTATTGATTTCCATTTTTGAGAATGCTCTCACCTGTTAACTGATGTTTTTTTGTTTTTTTTTACATCATTTAGCCAAGTGATATGAATTTCCTTTAGAAAATTGAGTACACGTGTTTATAAAAGACAAAATGAATAAGACATTGATTTATCATATTAAATTTTTAAGCATTTTTTTTTAATGTTTCTAAAAATACACATGTATATAGAATGGTAGGGCTGTCACCTCCCACACCATTTCTCTTTTTGGTATATTTGTTGTCCTTACAGCTGAATTGCTTATGAGTTGAAATTTATCTCTGGAGATCCATCCTCTTTTCTGTACCTTTCCATCAGAGTAACAAATATAAAATTTATTTTTACTGTGGCATTTTTAATTTGAAATTGTTGCTTATATTGATTCTCAGAGAATCATCAGTGTGTCTTTCCAATTCAGTGTGACTTTTTCTTTTGAACTTTTTCACTAATATATTGTAACTTTTTATCATTTTTGTCTATCCCTGGTGTCACTTTACTTGGAGAGGAGTTGGGTGCTGCCAAGTAACACCTTTTTCTCTAAAAATGCTATCAAGTTAGCATGAGAACTGACAATCTTCTAATTCATGGAATCAATTATTCCTATGATTTTGGAAAGGACTTATCTAAAATGATTTTGGAAAGGACTTATCTAAAATGAATAAATTTGAAAAAATCTGGGAAATCTTCTTTGTCTTTGCTTTTGATATAATCTTCATTTTCTTTTAATTACAAAAAAAGGATTTGATTTTGATATTTTTAAAGCTTAATGTTTTAAAAAATCTTAAATTCTCCTTGACATTGGAAGTCAAAGATGATTTTTAAAAAATTAGTCCTACAAATACAAGAAAACTTCATCTGAAAAGAAAACAGCTTAAGATTATTACTTACACTATGACTATTGAGTAGTCAACAATACAGCTTGGAATAAAGTTGGAAGAAAGCCATGTGACTGAAAGAGAAAACCTGTCCATGACAGTTTTGATAATGTAATGGTGAAAGGTATCGATGATGGAAGATGCTCTTTCCTCTTCTGAAGTTACTTCTTTTAGTTTGTGTACAAGTGGCAGAACATAGAATTTTCAAAAAGAAAAAAAAAACATTGTAATAAAAACTATGAAGAAAATAAATAGAGAATAAATGATGAAAGTTTTGTGGAATCTAAAAACAACTTAAGAGCCTGGAATAATTTATGAAGAAAAAGAAAAACAATCTTTTATTTATATTTTTAAATAGGTGATTATTTGTTTCTCAGTTCTATGAAAGAATTTCTGTAATGTTGATGTATTGTTCATAAAAAATGAATTTCTCTTATGATTGCTTAACATAATTTGAAACTCATATTTTTCATTGTTGCTTGTGTCTCTCCTTATGTAAGTTACGAATTATAAATAGTAATGAAAACGTCAAAATGATGCTGTTTTTATATTGAAGTGTTTATCATTATAAGAAACAAATACTTTTGCAGCCAAGTTTTACACGCTTCATGTTTTTTATTGAATCCACTTGTGAATGACAAATGATTAATGCTTTTTCTTTTGATGAAGAACAAAATTCTACATTTTTCAGAAAGTTTTTTAAGATAGTTCAACCATTAAAATGCAATTTTGGCTTGGAAGAAACAATTGTTTTTTTTTTATCTGCTTACTGTTCTGTTTTTTTTTTATGAATAGCATGCTAACAATAAACTTCATTTTGTTTACGCTGTTTAATATGGTTGACTGTAATGATATAGAAACATTGCCAGTTGTAATACAGCCATCCATACACACATACAGTGGTGAGAGGAACAAATATTTGTATGCATACAAATTTTTAATTTATTGTATTTCCAACAAATGAATAAACATACTTTTCTTATAATTAACTGTACACAGATGCATAATAACTAAATATGCATAGAAAACAGCAAAAATTGATTTAATAGAAATAAATCCCATTTATCCATTTTAATGGGTGAAAAAGTATTTGTACAAGAAAGAATACATCTTCATTTAATATTTTGTAGAATAGCCATTATTCACTTCTATAGCAACCAACCTCCTCTTGTAGTTCTCAATTAATGATTTGCAAATTTTAGTTGGTATTTTTGTTCTATTCTTCTTTGCATATGGTTTTCAGGTCTAGGATGTTTGCTAGAGCTCTCGATTGGATTTGAATTTTTAAATAACAGTACAGATTCTTGATTAGGTTTAAATGGGGGGACTGATTTGTCCATTTCAGGATATTTATATTATTTTCACCAAGCCATTTCGTTGTAGATTTTGCAGTGTGCTTAGGATCATTATCTTGTTGGATGATCCAATTGGGAGGAAGTTTAAGATTTTCAACCAAAATCATTAAATTTGCTACCAAGATATTTTGATATCCAGCAGCATTCATTCTACCATCTATTACTGATATGTTGCCAGTACCTTTTGCAGAAAAACAACCCAAAACTATGATGCTGCCACTACCAAATTTCACTGTTAGAACTGTGTTCTTTTGTTTGACTGCATTGCCATATTTCCTGATTTCTAGAATTATGTCCAAACAACTCAAATTTGATTTCATCTGTCCATAATATTCTTTCCCAATATGATTTTTCTTTAACCTTATGTTCATGAACGAATTTCAACCTGGTATCTCTTTGTCTTTTCAATTGCAGTGGAGTTAGCCAAGGAGAGTGTGATTGTTCCTATGAATTTCATTGTTTTTTGTCTGTTTAGTAACACAGATTCCTGATAAAGGCAAATCATCCTGCAACACTTAAAGATTGACATTGGATTTTGTTTAATTTGACACATAATTTACTCAAAGAACTTGAAGAAATCTTCCATGGATCACCTGTTCTTCATTGGTTTTAAACAGTTTTGATTTTTTTTTATACATTGCAATGAATGAACTAATGGCAATAAATAGAATATTCAGGTTGACTGAGATTTTCCTGCAACTTTTACCTTCTTTCCAGAGCTTAACAATCAGTTATTTTTGTGAATTTGTCAATTCTTTACTTCTTGCTATGATGATAACCTTCTTGCACAAATATCAATTACAGAATGTTCTGTTTGTATTTTTTAGGCTAAAAATAACTACTGATAATATTATTGGAACATTCTAGAATATTCCACTTGAATAATCTAGAGTATTAAAGCAATTTAAAAGTTTTAAATTATGAAATTTTCCTTGTACGAATACTTTTTTCATCCATTAAAATGAATTAATGGGATTTATTCAAAATTTTTTCTGTTTTCTATGCATATCTAATTATTATGCATCTCTGTACTGTTATTTATATGAAAAGTATGTTTATTCATGAGTTGGAAATGCAATAAATTAAAAATTTATATGTGTACGAATATTTGTTTCCCCCCACTGTATATGTATTGTTATCACTTAAATGTTATTTTAGGGGATACTCATATTTGAGTAGACCATCCATTTTTTAAACCGCATTTATTTTCATTTATTGGCATGAATATTGGTATTCATGCATCTCTTAGAACATATTTGTCTTAAGTGCCTCAAGTTTAGCAAGAAAGAAATAAAAAGATATTAACTGCTGTATGATATTTTTACGTTTCATCTGATGTTTTTAAACAGTGTCATTTCTTTTGTGAGGCACATTACACCTCTTTCAGTTGGATCACCCTGCATTAACATGCATGAGTGTTAATGTCTTTGCAGTAATTGACTTCTATGGTGGATGAAGTACTTGGGTGGGACCCTTCAAAAGCGACTTCTCTGTGATGTGCTCACTTTGACAGTTCTGGGCAACTGCCTGATTTATGCACATGCATATTTTGTTTATATAGGTTTACAAACCTGATCTGGGCATGATTAATTAGCTTCTTGAACAATGAACCTCCTGTTAGAAAATCAGATGGCTAACCATAAAATGCTTTTCAATTTGGCCTGGATATGTAAGTTTACCAAATTACATTGAAATTAAAGCAAATACAATGAATAGGTTGCTGAATAAACATAAACTTGAGTGACTGTGGAATTTATGGAGTTGGGTCAAGGATTTCAGTTATGCTGAATCTTATTAAGTTTTAGTTAAATTTGAGTTTAAACTCTTCCAAGGTCCTCCTTATAAGTATTTTATGGGTTTAAATTAATATTTTTAAACCATTTCCCCACCAGAGTCCGATTCAATTAACCATTTTCCCATATTTTTCTCTTACCAATATTTTTACTCCTTTGCTCAGAATTAAGTGTCTCAATACCTCAAGTCAATAACAACTTTCCATCCTCTAGTCCTACACAATCTGGGCCACTGCCCTGTTACACCATCAAATTCTTGTTTTTTTTTCATAATCTCTAAAATATCCTCCTGCATTTGTATTGCTCTCTCTGATATCATTTTAATCATAAATATGACATTTCTTGTGCCATTGTCCTTGACAAATGTTGCATTGTTCTTGTCCTATTTCTAGTCTAGTGCTGCTTTGTGGTATATTCATCAGAATTCACATTATTAGCAGGGCTATGTGGCTCATTAAGCTGATTGTCCTTTGGAGCTTGCATTCTTGTGTCATGCTATGAAGATGGATCTACAATCATAGCAATAAGCTACATAAGTAAAAATATACTGTTAAAAATGTCTGTGTTTAATTAGTGATCCTCTTGGAGTGATCTCTTTTTGTTTAATTTCACAGTCAACTGTGTACCGCAATCATGATTTTCATATTCAATACTGGAACTGCTTAACTATGAGAGTGTATTGAAAAGTTAATTCTTGCATCAATTAAATTTGAAATTGGAAGAATCAATTTTTAAATATAGATTAATAAAAGTTTTAGTTTTACATGAAAAGAAATGAAATCAGTTGAACATTATTTTTTGTTTAGTTAGAGAATAAATAAGAAAATAAAACTTTTAGTTTGATTATATTAAAATGGTAAATTTAACCCTGATTCAAAGTGAAAGCCTTGGAAAATGTGGATTGTGACCAGTGAAAAAGTTAAATTGATGATGGTAACAAAAATGGAAAATGCCAACAAAATTAACCAGATTTTCTTATTTGTTAATAAGTGATTGTTAATACCTGAAAGTGTGTGGGCGTTTTAATTTATTTTTTATGCTTTGAAGTTAAAGATTTTTGTTATTTAAAAATTTTCAATTTTTCACTTCATTTGGAAAGTAAAACTTGAAAAAGTTTGGCTTGTTATCTTCATTGAGATTATCTTCATTACAGGACAACTGCATATGTTCCAGTTGATGCTGAAGTTCGAGCTCCATCTGTCCAAGTCAACCTGGTCAGTAAGAGGATGTCGGCAATCCGTGAGGTTGAACTTACTTTTGAAGTCACTGGTAAGTGTCACTTTTTAGGTACTGACTATTTTAATTTTGACATATAAGAAAAGTCATTGCTTGTTGCCTTGGAGACCAGTAAGTATTTGTTTGTGCGTCAGTCGTTCATTTTGAACATTTCGGTTTAACTCTCTGTCATATAAGGAACCCATTGCGATGGGCTGAGTTGCCTTGGAGACCACGGGTTCAAAGTATTTGTTGGCTTTTAAAAAGGCCCATATGACACCCTCGTGGGGGTGATTGAAATTTGTTATTTTACCCATATCCAATTGAAATTGTAATCTGCAATCTTGAGCAAGCTAACCAGCTCCTTCTTTATCTATGAACTTTTAGTTACTTTCCCTGCAATTAGTTTTAGTGACAGTTGTATTGCCAGAGGTTATGTGCTTTACATCATTTTTATTAAGTGGATAATGATTCAGAAAATTAAACTTGTACAAGTACCTTTGCCTGAATGTAAATCTTTTCTAAGCTAACAATTTCAGAATGAACAAAATCTTGTCTATTAATCTTTTAATTTCGATTCATTTTTTTTTTTTTTTGTTTTTTCAGATTTATTTTATTTTCTAAATTTTAACAACAAAAAAAAACTGTCCTTTCCTCAAATTTTGTATTTTTTTTTTCATTTCAAAGCTCCTATTTGATTAAGTAGTGTTAAGACTTGTTTACTGTCCATTGATGATATGGATTGAAATAACATGACTGTTCAACAGAGTCTCTTGTTTAAATTCATTTAGAAGTGCTATTTTTTCACTTCCCAATATTGTCTTTTTTTTCCTTAATAAAATTTACTTTCAAGCTAATGTGTACATGTTTGTCTTCTACTTACAAAAATATAAAGAATACAAAGATTGATTCTACAAGAAAACAAAACAAATGCTAACTCTCCAATGAAACCTTTTCTTGTAATTAAATAACTAGTTTGTTTTTATCACAAATGAAATGAATGTCTCTAGGAAAGAATAAGTGTGTGTGTGTAAATTATCATCATAATGTTTTTGTGATTTTTGATTGTGACAAATAGAAAATTTTGACCTGGAAATTTTGTCCATGTTGTTAAACAATCTTTTTAATTGTTAAGATATTGATATCAGTTGATTTTTTTTTTTTTTTTTTTTTCTCCAAGGTCCTGATCACATAATTGCTTTCGTGTCACCTCATGCTGATAGTCCTCTAGTCCGTTGGTCTTTAAGTGATGACCCACCCAGATTGGCCAAACTCCCAAGTGATATTGACCAAGACGTCTACTTTATCTACTACTCTCATGCAGAAAAACCTACCACTCCATGGACATTCAGTCTTACATTCTCAGTAAGTTATTGTTTGCACTTTTGAAAACCTTACTGTTTTGTGGTTTCCCAGTCTATGAAAGGAAACCTTTCATAAACTTATAGCCATAAAAAGCAATTTTTGAGCAAAATATATAAAAAAAAATGTATGAAAAGAGTTTGTACATCACATTGAGTATTTTTAACGTATATTTTACCTTTTGATGATATTTGACATGGATATTCTTTGACATTTTTCAAGCAGTGAGGAAGTGTTGAAAATCAAGTGGCAAGACGTGATGTCTGGTTGATTACTAGGGCCCCACCACAAGGAAAATTGAATGAAAGAGGCAATGTAATGCATGGAGATTGATTCTACAACTGTTCTTTTCACTGGCAAATGCTCTGTTAGCCCTGATTGTTCAGATAGATAAAGTAAACACTTGACAGCTACTGACAGAAAGAGGAGCCATCACAAGGTGGATATAATGTGATATTTTGGGTAGGATTATAGGTGGCAAAGTGGTGAACCTAGGCTCAATTCTACATAATGTTAATATAACAGCTGAGAATGGGTTAGGACCCCTTCTGCACTATATATATATATATATATATATATATATATATATATATATATATATATATATATATAAATAAATTTATTGTTGATAAAGCAACACTGGAAAACCTACAAAAATGATTTTAATGAGGGCAATGAATATTAAGTAGTTAGAATATATTTAAGACAGAAAAATTCATTAAAAATTTTAACACAATTTGCCAATAAAGTAAATGTAGAATAATTTCTAAGAATAAACAAAATATTCAGTGGCACTGACATGAAAAAAGGTAAAAGGAAACTAGTCCCCTATTTTTCCCAAGTATAATTTTGGCAATGTCAGTTTGCACATAGGAAGCTGTGGAGAAAAATAATTGCCTTTATATCTTAATCAAAAACTATCTCTGTCTATTTGCCTGGGGTTCCCTCTCTGTCAATTCAGTTTTACCTCTCTTTTCATTGGCTGAAAGGATTTCAAACTTGTATTTCCTCTCTTTGGTATTACAGTCTTTCTTTTTTCAAACTCTCAATACATTTGCATATCTGTAAAAACTACAATATTAACTTTATATCTGTGCCTTTTGTCTATTTTGAAGCCTTCTGACAAGAATCATTGACTATTTTACTAACAAGTAAAGAGAAGAGGAGTTGCCTGGTAACAATGATTGGGGATGGGTGTATTTTTCTTGCTGGTTTATCATTTCATTGCCTGCCAGCTTCTACCTCCTTGTCACCTTGAATTTAACTTTCATCATTTAATCCTTCTTTCACTTCTCAGCCTTTTTTAGGTTTTGCTTTGCATATTGGATGGAATTTCTTTTTTTTTGTTTCTGTTGGCATTCAGCAAAATGTTTTTAGATGCTGCTTTTCATGGCTTTTGTGTGCATGTATTTGTGTTTGTGTGTACGTGTGTGTGGTTGAACAATTTCCTCAAATCAAATTATTTCATTTATTTCTTCTGTATAAAATAATATTCACATAATAAAGTCAACAGAAATGAATTGTTTTATTAAAATATCCAAAACAGTAAGCATAGTGGCAATGACAGTGGAAAATAAAGTCTATTAGGAGATGGAATTCTTTATTCAGCTGTGGTTTGTTGTCAGCATTTGACAACTGGAACATATTTTGTTCTAAGGCAGCTGAAAATGTTGTGTTAGTGATGGGGAGATATCACTTTTTAGTTTCCAGACCTGTTTATCATTGCTTATGCGCTTACACTATTTTGAATGTCTTGTCTGTATAATGTTTGTGTATGCATTTGTAGCAGAAAGAGAGAGAGAGACAAACACACACACACACACACACACACAAACAAAATAAAATGATATGTATGAAATATCCAAATAAAGTATGTAAGATAGAACTTGTGAAAACAGCAAGAATTTAAGCATGATGACATTTTTATACAGTATGTATATATTTAATTTAGAAATATATTATCTTTACAAATGCTAGGATGAAGGTAATAAAAATTGTTTTCTATGTCACTGATAACATTCTGATAGTGACTAAAGATGCTTGAAAGTACTTTTTTTTTTTTTTTTTTTTTTAAATCATTTCACTCTAAGCAAGGCAGGAATGCCACTAGTATGCAGTGGGGAGTGACAGAGTGAAAGCATGAGAAAAGACTGGGTATAGGGGGGAATTGAAGAAAGGATAAAAAGAAGAATGGGATTCCAGAAGATAGAAAATGGCAATTGATGTTGGATTTAAATTTTTGAAGATTGTAGTTATCAGGGAAGCAAGTAAATGGAAGGGTGTTCCACAGGTGAGAAGTGCAAGAAAAGAAACTGTTGGAGTAGAAGTGGTGGTCACATTTAACTATTTCAACAGTAAAAAGGTGAGGCCTACATGCCAATTGTGTAGCACGCTTAAATTCATGCACTTGGGGCATCAGGGTAAAAAGTTTGTGAGAGAAAATATTTTTAGAAAAGCTACATCAAGTCAGTGAGAAAATGACTGAAGTTGAGATGCCAAGTCAGTTACTTTGCAGATCCTTCTTTGTATTTTGTCAAGAATCTCAAGTACTCAATGCACAGACAAATGGTAGAACTGTAAATGTGCAAGATAGACTCTGACGAGAAAAAACCTTCTGGCACAGCACGGTGACCCTACTTTCCTTGCAATAGATGCAACTATTTGATGTAGTTGTTCCACTTCAGATAAGTTGAAAACATGTTTCTCTCCAGGAGTCTAGTCTGGTACTAAAATAACAGCAGTTTTGTTTTGGAGGTATTAAAATTTATAAGCAATTTCCTGCCCCAGTTAACCACTGATTGAAAGTATTTTTCAAGAGCAGTGGCCAGGTTAAGTTTGTCAGCTCTGATTGATTTGCTATTCAGACAGGAGTAAATGGTAGTGTCATCTAAATAAATGCCTACTTGGGAACTGAGAGCATCAAGAAGATCATTGATGAAGATCAGAAACAGTGTAGGACCCAGGATAGTTTCTTGAGAGGACACCTGCATTCATGTAAAAGGATCTGGACACAACCCTGTTCAAAACGAACTTCATTTCATGATTTGATAGGAACAATTGGATTAAATCAGACATTCATCCTGTAATACCCTAGTGCTGCAGCTTACGTAGAAGATCAGTATCCCAAACAAAAACATGCAAAAATGTCTTTGAGATATCTAGAGCCAAAGCTTTGCCGTTCTTATCAAGAGCTTGATATACATATTCAGTGATGTCCATTAGCACATGAGCAGTAGACCAGGCAAAATGGAAGCTATAATGTTTGTCAAAGAGTAGGTTGTGAGAGGTAAAAGACTTAACCACTACAGCATTTGTTAAAGCCTTGAATACTTTGCCAAAAAGCAGTAGGAGACTAATATGGCGATAATTAGAAGATTCAGAAGGTTTTCCAGAGTTCTTAAAAAACAGGAACTACAGAAGAAGACTTCTAACAAGCTGGGAAGCAGGAAACAGCAAAGCAATAGTTGTAGAGTTTGGAGAGAACTGGAGCCAGTTTGGAAGCACATTTCATTAGGTTAATGGCTGGGATACTGTTGACTCTGCTTGCCTTATGGGAGTATAGTTTAGAAATGATGTCTGAGACCAGTGTTAGGATTATGAGCATATCACTCAGTAGAGCTTTTGTTCTAGTGGAAAAATAGGTGTGGGTACTCCAAATAAGTCGAGCATTCAGCCTTATCTGCTCTAGATGTCAGGACTTTGAATTGATTGAATAGAGGAGGGATTGAGGTTTTGCTGTTGTTCAGCACACTCTTGCAGAGCTGCCGATAATCTCTAGAACTGAACTTGAGATGCTATGCATTGTTTCCTTCTATCAACAAATGGTAACTTTGCTTTTTTGTAGACTGGCTTGCACTTATTATGAGCAGAGACAAAGAGATATCTGCTGCAATCAGATCTGTCATTCTGGTACAGCTGGAAGAATTAATTCTGGTGCGCTTGTTGTGGAGTAAAGAGTGCACCCCTGGTTACTCTATGAACTTGTCCAATATGATAATAAGTAGTCGTATTGGAATCAGTCTTCATACTAACTATACAGGCATTATGGCAATAACCTAAGCATTATGTATGGAGAATTATGTTACACCAAGTATGAGTGTGTGTTATAACAATAATCTTACAATATAAACTTATAATAGTTGGTGACGAGAATACAAGTGCAAGATAGATTTTGCAACATTATAATCGAAGTTATAATAGTTGATGATGAGGATGGTGAACTCGGGTGCACTTTAAGAAGTGCCACATAACTGGAATTATAATAATGGGTGTTCAGATTTCATAATTCATATTTATGCAATAGGCAGTCGTATTGGTGCCATGTAGTTGTATTGGAGCTGACTATCATGCAAACAACACAGACATTCACATCGAAGTACTCAATGCATTATGATGGAAAGTTTGTTTCAGATGTGGAAAATTACATTTTGGTAAAGACTGTTCATGGAAAAATGCAGAATGCTATAACTATGGTAAAAAAGGACATATCAAATCACACTACAGAATTAAACCAAGAAATTGTGATGGAAAAAATACGTATGTGAAACAAAAAAAAATTTGTTAATGTGTAAATGAATAATGTGGGAGTAAAAATGTTACTAGATACTGGAAATGACATTTCAATAATAAATGAAACATGGAATTAAATTAGAAACCTTCATTAAAAAGGACTTACAAAGTCGTAACCTCAGTTTCTGGCAAGAAATTATTTTGGGTGGGGAGAATTAACATGTGATGTTTATTTTTGAAATAAGCAGTTGAAATAAGCAGTTGAAAATAAAAGTTTAAGAAATGTGATGAATCTATTCAGTATGGACTGGATGGAACTCTATTCGAACTGTCGGATTTGCTGATAAACACTTATTGTAAAAATGTTAAGGAAGAATTAAAAAAAATGTTTTCCTGATTTTTTTGTCTAATGAACTGGGTTGGTGTTCAAAATTCAAGACAAATTTTCAAGTAAAAAATGCTTCAACATTTGAAACCAAAATGGAGTGTACTAT